ATGAACAACTCGTCGAGTTCATCTTCATCCGATGAACACTTTATGCTAAGACTCACCGAGTTGTATGAACAACTCGACGAGTCTGTTCTTGATCTATGAAGATTGCCTTGGACTCGCCGAGTCAGGGCATTGACTCGCCGAGTCCTAACGTGGGTGAGTTCAGCTCCCAACTCACCGAGTCACCCCCTGTGACTCATGGCTCAACTCGACACATGAAGAAGGGACCAAATCGGTGACTCGCGACCAGACTCGCCGAGTCACCTATGCGACTCGCCGAGTCATCGCCATGCATCCACCAAATACACAGATTTACTCGGTTTCAGTCCATGCCATTCATAGATCTGGACTTCTAGGACACAAATCACACGTAAAGTTCCCAACTTTACGTGTGGATATTCACTAATGTGGATATTAGGGTGCAAAATGCCTCAAAAGGGTAGATCTAGGATGAACAAGCCACATGGGGCCATAAAGCTCACAGATCTGAGCTCCTGGAGCTCAATATTGCCTAGATCTAAAGGTTAGTCCACTTATTACAAGTCCTTAAGCACAAACAAGCTTGGAGAATTGCTCAAGAGTGTCCCAAATGACATCCTAAGTATAGAAACAGGGGAAAACGAGATATACCTCAAGGGAAATGTTGAAATGACACAAAGATGGCTGATCTCCTTCTCCTCTTCTTGATCTACTCCTCTTACTCCTCAAAACCTTCAAGAACACACCAAGAACACCTCAATCTCTCAAGGAAACAAGGGAAAACGATGTTGGGGGAGTTCTGGGGGTGAATGGGGACGAGTTGGGGCGGAATGAGAGTTTAAATAGGGTGCAAACCCTTGAAACTTAGGGTTTCATCCAGCAGCGGTGACTCGCCGAGTCCAGGATGTGGACTCGCCGAGTCGCCTACTTAAAACGTGTCCTGAGTCTCGTCCCTACTCGGCGAGTCGGACCCTATGACTCGCCGAGTCCAAGGCTAAATTAGGGCAATGCTCAAATAAAATTCACATACCGGAAACCAGGTGCTACATCGGGTATCCGTTCGAAGGACGTTTAACTATCAATTATATATCATGTATACATATAGAGACATAAAAGTTGTCCTCATTCAGTTTAGTACCTTTGGGTAGCAAAGCCATTACTTCAGGTTATACACGTACATGGTTAGTAACTATTATAGGTATAGTTAGGAGATACCACTTACCATTCCAAGTACAAGGAATCACACAAGAGTCAGTTCATTCATGAGTCTATACTAGTACATTAGATGCTTACATGAGTACGTTTACACATGATACATAAGTATGTTTACATAGATACGCTTACATGAGTACGTTTACATAGATACGCTTACATGAGTACGTTTACATAGATACTCTTACATGAGTACGTTTACATAGATACGCTTACGTGAGTGCGTTTACATAGATACGCTTACATGATTACGTTTACATGAATAAGTTTACGTGAATGCTGTTACATGGATACTTTTACATAGATAATATATGACAAGTTACTATTACATATTATATGAATAGATTCTGTTATATACTTCTCCTTCTTATCTTTATTTTGTGATGCAATCACATAATCGACGAGATAGATTGGACTTTACATCCTAGTACCAAAGGATACTTTGTGGGACTAACCATTCCTATAGCCACTGTTAGCTACAGAGGATAATGAACATCTACGGATGCCTACGGTTGATACCATTACAGGTATACTTTAAGGGACAAACTATTCTTATACCCAGCTGTTAGCAACAGAGGTAAATGTACATCTACGGATGTCTTAAGTTAACACTGTTAGTTATCCTAGTGCAAAAGGATAGTACTTAAGTTATTATGTTATTTTCTTCCTTTACTTTGTGACATATTCACATGAACGAAGAGGTAGGATATATTTGATATAGATAACTATTTTCCTTATTACCTTTATATTGTGACTCATACACATAAACGATGAGGTATGCTTTAGTTTTATACTAATAGTTAAACAGGGAAAAACCATCACATTTACAGACACGCGTACATTCAAAACAGTCGGGTCTTGGTAGAAGAGTACTTTCAAAACAGTCGAGTCTTGGTACAAGACTACTTTCAAAACAGTAGGGTCTTGGTAGAAGACTACTTTCAAAACATTAGGGTCTTGGTAGAAGACTTCTTTTATAGGGATCATAGGGATTTCTAGGGTTAGTCAAACGCTTACCATTTCTTACAAACATTTACATACTTATATGAGCTTTCTTTCAAAACAATGTCAAGACTTTCATTACAAGTTTTGCACCTCAAAGACACACTAATAATTATGAATTCACCAGCTTCTTGGCTGATACTCGCTTTCAAAATAACTTGTATTCTCAGGTCACACATAGATAGGTACAACGACCAGGTTTGTGAAGACGGAGCAGTCCAGACTCGTCTTATTCTGATTATTCATTTTATTGTTGTATATTCTGAAAGAACACACTTGTAATTAAAATTTATACTATTAATGCAACGGATGATGTTGTTGCTTGTTTACTACTTTACATTGTTGTGATACATTACATGACCTCCTCCGCCCTTGAACGTTTCCGCCATTCTCGGTTTTGGGGTGTGACAGCCCGTATAAACGCAAGGCTTCCATTTACACGACCATTTAATCCTCTGAAAAGCCAAAATTTTCAATTTTTTGATATATTCATATTGGTGCTCCGCAAGTCCTGAAATTTCGTCCACATCTCTTATTTACCTCCTTAAGTAAGATCCTACCTCCAAAAGTCCCTTAAATATTACACAAGTGTGTGATTGAAATAGCTTCATGAAAAATTTTGAAAAAAAATGCAAAATACATGAGTTTAAGCCTATATGCAATGCACTTTTATGGAATAATACTATAAAATGGGTACATGAAATGCACCTAACAAATCTCCGCAAGCTTGAACCTTTTGCCCCTAAGAAAGAACAAGAAAATTTTAGAACGGAGAAAATAGAATAAAACAAAAGAAACAAAAATCAAAATCAAAACTTTTGAAACTTAATGCAGTAACAAGAATAAACATGAAAGATATCCAACCCAATTAACCTCGTACTTGTCGTGCCTTGAGTTAACTTTGCATTAGTCTCAAAATATTATATAACATCAAAAACAAGACTTTTGGCGACTCCCTAATGTAACTCAACAGAATCAAAGATCACAACACTTGTTCCCTCTTAATAGTATCAAGTCAATTTATGGAACAAATTATGATCTGACTCTCGTGAAAATGTATATGACAAAACATGCTTAATCATTTTTTTTACAAAATATGACAATGACCAACTCCAACTATTTGTTGACCAACAACAATCTTTTTCTAAAAAATCTTTCCTAAAAGTTCCTTCAAATTTACTCAGATTAGTTACAAATTTCAAACCATTTACACCACTCAAAGTAGTTAACAGTTAGTCCCAATGCCATAAGTTCAAGTCCAAGTCCAAAGGAATCTTTTGGCAGCCAAAAAAATTTCCTAAACATATTATTCAATTAAACTATAAACATAAATATATACAAACTATCTAATTATATTATTCCAACAAATAAAGCTCATGGATTTCTTTGAAATCCATGTAACAGGCTTCCAACCAACACATCCAGACCAGATGACCTTAGTGTGCTAGATTTAAATAGATCCCTCGGGTTTACTAGCTCGAACCTCAAAGGCCACAAATTAGCTTTATTTCGATACCAATACATGTCTATATTTTTTTTTGTTATTATTAAACTCATGAATTTCTATGGAACCCGTGTAGCGAACTTTCAACTTAGTCAGTCCCAAATAATTCAGCTTTAGGCAATTAGGTGTAGAACACCCCTTAGAGTTTAGTTATTCGAATCCCAAAAGTCACAGATTAACTTAAGAATATATTTTTTTTAAACAAATCTAATACAACATATAATACTCTTATCAATTTATTTGCTAGGCTTATTTCTTTATATTTTTGTCATTGACTTTTCTATTGTCGGACATCTCACAGTCTACTTACCGTGAGAGACTTCTAAGACATTTTTCTCGGGAGACCGAAGTCAACACACAAAGACTCGTAAATATAGTTGGAAATTATGTCCCCAAGTAGGGTATTTAAAAGAGAATAATCAGAAAGGAGTTTTTAGAGTTCTGGAAGACTCGATCACTGAAATTTTATATTCTTTTTATGATTTCTTGAATTTGGTAGTTTGGATCCAATTGAGCACTTACTACTCATAAGACCGGTCACGTGTCCCAAAGATTGACCCATACTTATCGTTATGCTCTGGTGTTGACAATATTTTCGTTTTCTATTTTGCACAAGTAGCTTCGAGAGGTGTGTTCATTTTCAATAAAAAGAGCAAGTCTAATCTCAAGGCATGCGACTCACTTACTAGCTCAACTGTTTTGAGAAAATTCGCCTACTTTGGATTGGATTAAAATAAGCATAGAATAAAATATTTTTGAATTTTTGAATTTTTGTTTTTTGATTTTTTTGAATGCAATGCAAAATTGAGATGCACAATGCAAAAAAAATAGTAAAAATAGAATAGAAAGAAAATCTTTTTGGTTTTGAAAAATTTTAGATGCAGAAAACGAGAGCAAAAAAAAATAAAAATTAAATGGTAAAAATTATGCAATATGTATAAAACTACAACCTACATGCAACGGGATCTATTTGTATGGATGTATGCCCCTCCCCAAGCTTAAAATATAGCATCGTCCTCGATGCTTGGAGAAAGGAATAGTCGGCCTTTCGACTGCTGGGCGGCGGAGGATATGGTGGGAATTGTAGAGGTTAAGAGGGCTGGTAATCAGTAGGATAATATGGGTGCCACTGGGGTTGGGATGATGGTGGTTTTGGCTGTGGTGGAAGGACAAGTATGCGGTGGAGATCGCTTATTAAGTAGTGTATGTTTCAATTGTGTTGTTCTTAAGTGGCCTATCGCTGATCAAACTCGGCCCACCACAACTCCTATTGGGCCCAACACTCCTCTTGTAGATTATGGTAGTCCTAGAATTCAGAGGTGTGTTTAGCAACACCCATATAAATCTCACCTACCTCCTGTTGAAGACTCGTGTAATGTTGGCCTAATTGTGCAAACTCGCCCATGTAAATGTTGTATTCAAGATTGGGAATGGGACGAGCCAAGATGGAGGCACCTGTGGGTGGAGGAGGGGGATGTCGAGTGGTGGTTGCGGGTCTATGGATTACAGTAAAAACAACATTTGACTGGAGGTGCGAAGTTGTAGATGAGATGTTGTTGGCCAAGACGAGTATCTTCTTATTTCGGCTATCAATACGTAGATACTCTTCATAATCTCCGGTCCAATGAATATCCCGATTGGGGTTTTGGTGAAAGAAGTGCATAGTCTCTATAACATTAATAGATAAGTGAGTGCGGCCCAAAATTATGTCCGTTGGGTTATTGAGCAGGTGGAGACCAAGATGTGCAGCTATCATTGAAACCATTCCTCCACAGTGAAGCTGGACACCATTGCTCGTAGAATTTTTTTAGCATTTTGTGGATTATCCAACACCCGAAGTGAGGAACTTCCTCGGGCTTTTGGATTATGCACTATAAGACTTACAATTCCTTCTTATTTTCCTTGCTAATCTCTTCTTGAGGGAACAAGAGAGAAGCAATGATCCAGTGCGTGACTTTAAGGACCGGATATATGATACTTGATAGTTTCATTTTATTTACTTCTTTTTATAGTTTATCTTAGCATATTTCATTCATAATTTAGACAATTTACATGCGTATTTTCATTTTTATTATTTTATGACTATTTCGGGTACTTTCTAGTATTGTGAGCTTTATTGCAGATTTCATGGAGACTAGTGGAGCGGGAATGTTCAGGACATATGGAAAGCAATGGGAATTGGTGAACAACAAGGATAATGAGCTTGATGACTAGTAGAATTGACTCATGGAGTGGGCTAGTGGCTATGGGACCTGGAAGAAATAAGCCTTGAATTTAAAAGAAATTATTGAATTTGCGAGCATGCTGAGATTTTTAATCGGGCGAGTACATGAGATATGGATGATTTGGGGAAGTAAAATTGGGCTTAAAATGAAGAAAACATCAAGAATATTTGGCTGCAAGCTTAGTGGATTCATTCTGGGCTAGTGGGCTAATTCATTGCAAGCCCAAATCACAAAAGAGACCAAATTACAAACGAACACGGGCTACCTACGCAACAGCACGCGGGTCGTGCAACCCCCTACGGCGACAATTCCATAATTTCTTGTTTTTAGTTATATGATGAATGTTGGTGGAGCACTTTTGCCAACTTTTGAATCCGGAAATGAGGCCTTTTTAATGGAGATTTTTGAAGAAAACTCAAGAGAACACTTTCAAGAACCATTCATTTTTGCACTCAAGAAGGATTTTGAAGAATCTAAGGATTTAGAAGATTGGTGTAATTTCTTTTCATCTTGCAACTAGAACAATGTTTGGTACCTCTAACTACTTTTCATTTCTTTCATTTTGGCCATGTTTGGCTAGACTTATTCTTGGTTCACTTGGATTTAATTGGTGGAATGTTTTAGTTATTTTGAAGAACTCCATGAACTTGTGTTGAATATCTATGATTATATTTTCTATGAAAACTTCCTTCATGTTTATATATCTCTAGTCGTGAATATTGATATGTGAATGTTATTTTTGTTGGTTAAATTCTTGGCTAAGTAATGGGTCTTCAATTTACAAGCAACAATTAGTTTAAATGTTTGTTTTCATTTCATTTAGACTAAGAAAATATTTTCTCCATAGTAGTAATGAATGCAATAGATTACTCTTTGTATTTGGTGACTCTTAAAACCTAATACTAATTGATTTTCACAAAATTACATGCTTCATTAATTTTGTAACTTTGATTTAGGAAATGTGCTATGAGCTTCTCTAGTCATTTTAATACAAAAGAAGACTTGAGGCAAGTTATGATCATAAATTGCTATAGCCAAGTTAGATTATAAATACAAGTATTGCACCTTGGTATTCTCATGATTATTTAACCAGATGTTCAAGTGATGAAGGGTCAAAGTCAACCATTTCTCTCTTCTTGACTTTACATCAAATTTTCATTTTGTTGAATTGTGTTTTTAAATCTTAGTGTAATACTAGTTTTCATTTAAACATCTCAAAAGATCAAAATCCCCCAATTTTATTTTATTTTAGGTTTACGAGTGTTTGTAAAACAATATTATCATAGAGTAATAAAATTGAACCAATCTTTGTGGATACGATCACTTTACCACTATACACTATTTTAGTGAGTAATATTTAGGGTATTTATTTTGTTGGCCTCGACAACCATCAATACTAGAAGCCTTTGTCGTATTAGATTGAAATTCGCCTTCACAAGAGATGCATGTCTAAAATACTCTGCAGCTTTGCTCAAATATGACATTTCTTCTACCCTTTGCCATATACATATCTTTTTTTGCTTTTGGTGCACCGATGGGATTGGGTGAGTAGACGAAAGGATATGATGTGTCTGCAAGAATCCTCTGGGATTGGATGAGTAAACGGAAGGATATGATGTGTTTTTAGTAGTCAAAAGTGATAGATGGCCAAAGTTCCAACATGGGTGTTCGGTAACTCAGTACATGAAGATTCAAGAGACCTTCCCAACCTATGTTTTTCAAAAGTTTGTGGACATCTTTGTAGATGTGAAGGTCCTTAAGATCATGGATATCCATAAATTTTTTAACCCCTTTTTCCCTACGGATAAGGCTTGAGTACACGATTTCTTGCGGATTGGAATAAAAAATAAGACCAAATTGATAGGGATTTTCCATGGGACCTTGGTCTTGTTCATAATGAGTCTCTTGGCCACTCATATTGGAGGTTCCTACTCTAGCTCTTTTGATACGGGATATCATTGTCCAATAGGTTCAACAAACTTTTTTAAACAACGTATGATAGATGGACAATTGTGAACACTAGATCATGCACACAAACTAACAATTCCACCAAAAATCACCCAAAAAAGTGGTCGAATAATATGCACAAAGAAAAGAGTTTGGAACAATTATACCAAAATTTGTGCTTGTAAATGGTGTTAGGGTGATTTCCAATGCTTCCCCAAACTTTCCTTAAGCGTATCCTACAAGAAATTACAAGAATTAACTCGAAATTTTGAAGCCCAAAAATTCTAGGGTTTGCTCAAAACCCCCAAAATCGGCCATAGGAGGGTGCGATTGAGTTGCAAGACAAAGAAGATGAAGAAAAATGTAGAATTTCATGCCTTGGAGCTTCAAAAATGGATCAAAATTGAGGAAGATGGAGTATTCTTGAGATTTTGTGTCGAAGAAGCAGTAGGGAAAAGAGGGTTCACAGGTTTTTTGTTGAAGAGACTGTGAAAAAATCAAGTTTGCTAATTAAAAACGGACAACCCTGTATTTCCATTTACACGGGCCGTGTAAATGATAAGGAAAAATTTACATGGCCCGTGTAAATGAGATATCTAAATGCAATATATGAACGATTACACGAGCCGTGTATTTCCTAGGCAAACATTTACACGACCGTGTAAATCTCTTAGAAGAAAAGAAATTTTCATTTTTTCAAATTTCAACCCGTTAATCCGCTACTTCCCGGAAAATGATTTTTTAACCTCTTTAAACATGATAAACAACTTTAAAACTTTAAAACTAAGAAAATTTGATGAGAAAATGAAAAATGAAAGAAAAGACAAAAATACCCCCGGGTTGCCTCCTGGTTAGCCGCCCGTTTTTTTATGTCGTTGGCTCGATTTGGCCCATGAACATGCCTCATTCTTGGTATGTGGGGCTCTCAACCACTTCCATCTCTTCATCCTTCACTTGGAATCCTTCGTAATAAGGATTTAAACGATAACCATTTACCTTAAAGATCTTCCTGGTTTTCTCACTTGCAATTTCAATTGCACCATGCTCAAAAACATTGGTGACAACAAATGGTCCCACCCAACGGGATCTTAATTTACCATGAATTAATTTGAAACGCGAGTGGTAAAGTAATACATTTTGACCTTTTTCAAATACCTTTCGTGAAATCATCTTGCCATTGTATGCTTTTGTATTCTCTTTGTAAACAACTTCATTCTCATATGCTTCATTGTGGATCTCCTCAAGCTCTTGTATGTCAAGCTTTCTCTTCTTTCCTGATTCATCTAAATCTATATTGAATTGCTTGATTGTCCAATAAGCTCCATGCTCCAACTCAATGGGCAATCGACATGGCTCTCCAAAAACAATATGGTATGGAGACATTCCAATTAGAGTTTTGAATGTAGTGCGGTATGCCTACAAAGCATCATCAAGATGAGTGATCCATTCTTTTTGTGTTGTATTGACAATTTTCTACAAAATACCATTGATTTGTCGATTGCTCACTTTTGCTTGTCCATTTATTTGTGGATGGTATTCTGTGGAGACTTTATGACTAACACCATACTTCTTCAAGACACGTCCAACCATACGGTTGCAAAAATGTGAACCACAATCACTGATTAAGGCCTTTGGAACACCAAATATGGAAAAGATTTTAGCTTCCAAGAAATCTATCATAACTTTTGAATCGTTAGTACAGGTGACTTTTGCTTTCACCCACTTAGAAACATAATCCACAACCAACAGAATGTAAGTAAAACCCGAGGATGATGGGAAAGGTCTCATGAAATCAATGCCCTAAACATTGAAAATTTCACAAACTCAAATGGGATTAAAGGGCATTTGATTATTTGAGCTTGAAGAACCTATCTTTTGACACTTATCATAGCTTGCACAAAAAACATTAGAGTCATGGAAAATACATGGCCAATAAAATCCACTCTATAATACTTTTCTTGCAGTTCTTTGAGGACCAAAATGTCCTCCACAAGCATAAGAATGACAAAATGTTAAGATAGAAGAAACCTCATGTTGTTCCACACATCATCTTATCATTTGATCAGCACAATATTTCCACAAATATGACTCATCCCATACGTACCTCTTGGCTTCTTTCTTGATTTTGTCTTTTTTCCATTGAGTCAAATCTGGTGGAAATTGATTTAAAACAATGTAGTTCACAATATCAGCATATCAAGGGAGACAATCCTACAAAGATGATCAGCCACAAGGTTTGACTTTCCACTCTTGTCATTGATTTCAATATTGAACTCTTGTAAGACTAATACCCATCGAATGACTCTAGGCTTCGAATCCTTCTTTGCAAGTAGATATCTAATATCTGCATGATCTGAATAAACAACCACTTTAGAAACTAACAAATATTGACGGAAATTTTCTAAAGCAAAAGCAATAGATAGCAATTCTTTCTCAGTTGTCGAGTAATTGGCTTGTATAATATCAAGTGTTTTTTAGGCATATTAGACTT